AAACTGAAAATGTGCAAATATTAGCAAGAAAGGGGGCTTAAAAGATTCATATCTTTCTGAAAGATGGAATAGAGTTTGTTTTGGCAGCTGATAATAAGACACATGATTCCTTTTCAGTGCCACATATTTTCATTTTTTTGGAAAATCATAAATGTGTTCCACCCAGCATCATCGACTTTGCTACTGCAGACTCAGTTGCAAAATTTTTAAATATCACAATGTTATTTAAATAACAGTATGTAGGTATGGGCATATGTGTGTATGTATAGGCATTTTTTCAATTGAATTCCAACCCTCCAACTGATTTTATACTAATAGAACCACATGAGTAGTTAAAATGGGCATTGTCTTGCCTATTCCGAATAACTTAATCAATTAGGCTTTCCTGAAATTGGACCACTAATGCTGGTTCATTCAGCCTTTAATCTAAAAGCATACTGTAGCTATATAGTAGTTCAACACAGACTTATGCCCCTCTTTTAAACATTGAAGGTCTATCTCAGTGGTGGGTTCCGGATCCCCTTCCAACCAGTTGCAATGGGCCCGTCGGTGTCCACATAGACATGCGCAGCACACGCATGCTTCTTGCCATCCAGCGATTCCTCCGTGAGCCTCCGCGATGCTCTAGCTGCTCGGCGCAGCATCACGCAGGCACTATATATGTTGTGTGTGGGAGCGCCAAAGACTTTAAAGACCGGTAAGGAGCGCGGGCAGGTGGGCCCTCCGGAGCACCATACCGGAGGGGTACCTGGTGCTCTGGGGAGGCTCCGGTACACCCATACCGGGGTGTACCGCCTGCAACCCACCACTGGTCTATCTGTATTAGTCTTTAAGGAAGAATTTTCAAACATCCTCACAAAGCCAGTGAAATTTGTTAAGAGTTCTGCCTCAAGACATAAGGAAATGCTTATATAATTCCAAAATTGGTAAAGCTCTCAACCCAAGATCAGTTATTCAGGAACACATCACTTCATATTAGAAATGTAGTAATGTAAATATCTCTGGATTCCTTTCCTATATTTCTGTGTGAAAAAATTGGTATTTTAGGCAAATTAAAGAATGAGGCAGGAGGAGTTTAGCATTAAGATGACTCAATGGATGCTGCATTGTATGACAACTGCAACTGTCCCAAAGAATTTGGTTTTCTGGTATTAGCCCTTGGCTAAAGAAGTTCTCACATATTGCCAGATTCTAACAGGGTTAAATGGAATAGTCATTCAGTCAGTCAGCCAGGTTATAAAACCATAAATTAAACTAGAATTGTTGAATGAGTGTTGAAAAAACTTAGACAAAGGTAGTATTACAATTCCTGCAAAATAAAGGTGGTATTCTACCGGTTCAGACTGGTTCTCCCAAACCGGTAGTGGAAATCATGGGTACCCTCGCCCACCCGCCACGGCTATACATTTAGGCCCTTTTTTCATCCAAAGTTCATGCACAGAAGGCTGTACGCATGTGCAGTGGTGGTGTGTGCAAGCAAAGCGAGCAAGAGTGCGCACACTCACATTTGCAAACCAGTAGGGAAGGTAAGTGTGTACCACCCCTGCTGCAAAGAATCAGTGTTTGAAGGAATGAGATGTATATCTGTGATGGTGAACCTATGGCATGCGTGCCACAGATGGTACGCGGAGCCATATCTGAGGGCATGCAAGGTGTTGCCCTATCTCAGCTCCAGTGCACATATGTGCGCTGGCCAGCTGATCTTCAGCCTTCCAGAGGGCAGGGAGAGGCCATTTTTGCCCTCCCCAGGCTTCAGGAAAGCCTTCTGAAGACTGGGGAAGGCAAAAAAATGGCCCAATGGGAAAACCAGAAATCCCATTTCCGAACTTCTGGTTGGGCCCGTTTTTCACCATCCACAGACTCCAGAGGCTTTCCTAAAGCCTGGGGAGGGCAAAAAATGGCCCAATGGGCAAACCAGAAGTTTGTTTCCAAATTTCTGGTAAGCCACTTGGACCCATTTTTCACCATCCATCCATCCACTGGCTTAAGAGGCTTTCCTGAAGTCTGGGGAGAGCAAAAAATGGCCCAATTGGCAAACTGGAAGTTCGTTTCTGAACTTGCAGTAGCCCTGTTGGGCCATTTTTTTCTCTCCGCAGGCTTTAGAAGATTCATTTCCGAACTTCCGGTAGGCCCCTTGGGCCTGTTTTTTGCCATCCACAGAGGCTTTACTGAAGCCTGAGGAGGGTGAAAAATAGCCTAATGGGCAAATCGGAAGGCCGGAGGCTTCAGTGCGGCCTGCTTACATGCCCGGGGGAGCATGGGGGGGTTGTGTGTGCATGCGCAGGGGGAGAGCATTGCATGTGCACGCTATCCCACATGGACCCTTTTGGCAGCCGAGCAGAAAAACATCACTGATGTTTACAGTATTTGATATCAACTCATATCAGCAATGCTGAAGAGATTTTGAGCACCATAGATACAATTTCTCCAATTAGGCATGAACCATCTGCGCAACCTTAACACAATCGTCTAGATTCTATATCCAAAGGCAGCTAAAAGTATACAGCTTTGATTTGGCCAGAATATAATTCTGCAAAGCTTCATCTCCCTGCATCAGTCTTTTTTAATATGATCTCTCCCGATTGTTTCCAGCATTGTCAGGGCTGGCAGGGTTTCTACCTAGTTCCAGTTCTAAAAAAGCTCTGCTGCAGTCACAAACATAAGCTTGAATCTGCCTTCCAAAGATATATGGGGCTTGGTGCTGTCATCAGATTTGTCAGATGGATTTTCTTGTAGGGGTGATGATATGCCTGGCGGAAAGTGACATTTCAGGTTGCACCTTGCTTTTTCTAGTTGCACTCAGCTCTAGTATAAATAAATTGTTACATTGCCCAGGGTTGACCTGTTGTATTCTTCTTTCGCCAGGCTCTTAACCTGTGAAATTATACACAACTTATCTGAGTTAGTCTCTTTTTCTAGCCTACCACTCTGGCTTTTGCCTGTAGACCTTCTGATGACATTTTTATTGATAGGATAGTTCAAAACTTATCTAGAATCTCGTCTTTAAATGCAGCATTTCCTATCCTGCTACTTTTCAGATGTGTTAAATTACGAAGTCTTCATGAGTAAAAGACAGGGGTGCACCAGAAGCAAGTAGGCCTAGGCAGTTCAGCTTTGATTCTTTATTATGTATATTGCTGTAATCATAAATAGATTTTTTTAGCAATCCATTTCTTTTATTATTTTGAACAATTCCAATTTTCTGCATTTATTATAAACATTTTTGAGAATTTCTAACCCATGTCTTTTCTGAGTTTTTAATTTATCTCTTGTTTACTTTTACCATTTGCTTTATGACTGCCTTTTGTTTTATTGAATGCAGTCTGTCCACAATAAGTTAAATAAATAAATAAATAAATAAATAAATAAATAAATAAATAAATAAATAAATAAATAAATAAATAAATAAATAAATAAATAAATAAAT